AGAGCGCCGAGGTGGGCAGGAAGCTGCTGCTCTCCTGCTACACGGGCGCTCTGGAGGTCAAAAAGAAGGAGCTGCTGAAATACCTCACGGCCGCCAGTTACCTCCAGATGGTTCACATCGTGGAGAAGTGCACCGAAGCTTTGTCCAAGTACTTGGAAATCGACGCTTCCGTGGAGAACGGCGGGCAGGCTGCGGAGAGGTGTCATTCCTCGGACGCCGAGCTGAGAAGCGGGGATGAGGTTTTAGATAAAGATTGCGAAATAATTGAGATTTCTGAAGACAGCCCAGCGAGCGTAGACTACGCTGTGAAACAGGAGAAGGGGGACGCCTCACAGCCCGCAGTGCAGAGCTTGGTATCGCAGAGAAAGGACACAAAAACCCCAGAAATATCAGCAGTCGAAATCGGATATAAGGATGATGAAATCTGTGTCTTCAGAATGGATTCCGTGAACGTAGCGAATGTAGAAAATGACCACTTTCCTCAGCCTTGCACCTCCTCTAAAACAAATTTATATTTTCCAGAAACCCAGCACTCCTTGATAAATTCTACAGTTGAAAGCAGAAATACAGAAATGTCAGGCAATCACTTTCAGGCTTTTGTCACTGACAATCCAGAAGGAACTTCCAGCCTGGTGAATGGGTTCCAGAGCCTGGATGATTCTGGCAATTCATGGCGCCACCAGTGCCCAAAGTGTCCGAGGGGATTTCTGCATCTTGAGAACTATCTCAGACACCTGAAAATGCACAAACTCTTCTTGTGTTTGCAGTGTGGCAAAACATTTACGCAAAAAAAGAATCTCAACAGGCACATCCGGGGGCACATGGGTATTCGCCCCTTCCAGTGCATGGTGTGCTTGAAGACCTTCACGGCCAAAAGTACGCTTCAGGATCACCTGAACATACACAGCGGTGACAGGCCCTACAAGTGTCACTGCTGCGACATGGACTTTAAACACAAGTCCGCTCTTAAAAAGCACTTAACTTCTGTTCATGGAAGGAGCAGCAGCGAAAAAACAACCCTGAACGCTATTACAAAAGTTAAAATAGATTATGATTGATGGATGGGTCGTTGTGGAGCCAGGCTCCACAAAAAGCTCCTGCCGAGTGAAATTCTAGATGAAATTCTAGATACAGATCCTCACATCATGGAGAGAAGCACAAGTATGGGACTGGTGATCAAAGACGGGCCTTGCGAGCAGCAAACCTGCCCGCTGCTTGAGGTTGCTATTGCTGTAAGTGCAAAAAAGTTTACTAGTTGCAATTAAACTGCAAAATACGGGAAATTATTTCACGCGTCCCTTCTATTTTTCTGGACGCATTCTGATTCCCCCCCTTCCCCCGCCACTACGTTTTATACTCCCCAGTTGCACGGGCAGGCACTGCCAATTGTCAAACTATTACCGATATGGCAATAAGCTGAATCCTGAGCCGTGATGTTCCTGATCTGTAACGGTGAAGGAAATTGGATGTTTCTATTTATTCAGCGAGTCAGTCATTCCCACCCAGTTCACATATCAGTTATCGTGAAATCATGTCTTTACTTGCCCAAACTTTGCTAGACCTTTCATCGGAAAAAACCCATGTTTTCACACACGAGTCTGTGATATTTAAGAAAGAACACGCAACAAACAAAAAATAATCAGAGAAGTTTTCAGATTGCCTCTTAGAAATAAAGAATTGGTAAAAGGGAAAGAAATAAACAGTACTGCCTTGCAATTAATTTTTAAGTGGATAGTCTCGTTAGAAGGACTTGCTTTCAGTTTTATGAATGAGTTCTGAATTTTATTAAGCTTCCTTCTCCTGATTGTTTTTTCTGTCATACCAGTGTTTTGCACCTGTATGTGACTAATTCCAATTTATTCCTTTACGTTGAGTTGTGAAACTTGCCTTCATTTTTTTTACAAATCTTAGGTACATACACTAATGTGGAAAATTAATCCGTGTGCTGTTATGTAGTAGAATTTCTACATTAATTTTGAAAAACGATCATTTATATCTTACTAGGAGCAGCTTAGATATAGCAGTGTCCTCATACTCGAACTCTGTGATCCAGTAAAACAGTAACTGTATGTGTTTGGATAGGTGTGTTTGTGCTTTGTCAAAAGTCATTTCAGTTTCATCACAAGCATCGAAAGCCCCGTAACACAATCTTTATCTTGCACCTGTCTTTGACTGGTGTTTCTTCCACTTAAGGTGACATGAATAGAGTCTATTCAGTCGTTAATATGAGATAATGGTACTTACGTTAGAATCTCTCCAGTTAGCAAAAAAGCAGTTCTTAATCCTGTCTGTGTCGCAAGGGTACGCTTTCCTTCAGGATTCAGAAGCGCTGTTAGGAAGTTCTTCCTCTGAGTCACAAAGTGTGGCCTGTGTGCTCCGTAACCTGGCTGGGTTTAAAATCCAAGACAATAGTTTTTTAATGTCAGTTAATAGGTTTCATTTATTTTCCTTCCCTGTGTGTGTGAGTGCACCAGCAATCACTTGGGGTTTTATTTAGCGACTTTGTGAGGGTTTAGATATGTACAACATCTACCCTGTGGTTTGTGAAACGCCTGGTCAGCTGTGCCAGCGTTATTGCTGTTTCATCTTTTGGAAATTTCAGTTGCAGAGTTTTTAAAAACTCGATTTTTAAGCTCCTCATCCAATATAATTAACGCTGATAAAGTACATATTAGTTGGACTGCAGCAGTACTTACAGTCCCAGTTCGTAGCAGGCGTTGTCGCAGCAGGCTGCATACATCTTCCTCAAAATGCACATCGTATAAATAGGTGAATCAGGTGTTCAGAAGCGGAGCGTGCCACTAGTGCCGTGCTCCTCCAAAAATTCACAAAAATGTCTGACTTTACATAGACAGTTGACTTGTGAGGGTCTCCACAAGGCATGTGTGCCAAGCCTGCATAATGAGGGTCCCTATGAATAATTACTGATGTGACACCTCCCCCGGTAAGAAGCTTGTGTAACTGTGAATTTAAATCACCTGTTTTATCCAGTACTTTAAGCATAAAGCTCAGCCTTTCATAATCTGTGCTACTACTTCATACTGTAAGTTGATCATTTGCTTTATTTTGGTGTTTTCTAATTATAGTAATTGTCATGAAACGACATACTATAGTAAAAAGGTTTGAATCATGTTTGCAAAAAAAAATTGCATTTGATAGCGTTGTTTTCTGTTTGCCTTTGTTAGTCTGTCACCGCTTACAGCCTTATTGGCCTCGTGATTAGTATTGTTTGCTTTGGTTTTCACAGAATACCATTAATTTTGGGTTCTTAGTTGCATAAAAATTGAGTCCGATTTGCAAGACTATGCTTATACCTGCACTTGCCCTTACTTTATTTACAGATGTTAACTTGGGTATATGCACAGGTTTGTATGCAGCTTTTCATTTGTGTCTGCAAACATTTAAACTAAACTTCTTCATCTGTGGAAGAGGTCATAAAACAGGAGAAAATTTTACGTCTCCCCCTCCATCCTTACATTGGGCTGCTCTTACTGTAGTTCAGTAAATAAATGTATTATGCATTTACGGAACAGATTTGGTTCAACTGTGCTTACGTTTGTTCAGCCAACATGCATTTTTGGCAGGTGTATGATTGTCATTGGTAACACTTCAAAAGATCATTCTGTGGTTTTTGTTCGACTGAATTTTATAGGTGTGTGCATGAGTATTTCCCCTGTGTCAGAGGGGAGACGGATGATGATCTTTTGAAGTGCATCTTCCGTGGGAGCAGGATTGCGAGTTATTTTGGTCTGCTGTTGTATTGCATGTAAACATGAGAGGGAGTTGTGTTGTGTGGCGGGCCAACAGCATGTTCTGTTCAGTGGCTAGAGTATCTTGGTAAGCTTTGTGAACAAAACTGGTTTTGTGCACACGTTCGCATTAAAGGTGTTTCCTCTCCCCTGTCCGTACATGTAACCACACGTCCTGTCATAACACAATAAATGAAATGCAAAAAAACCCATTGTTTCTGAAATACATCTGCTCTCCTCTAATCACAGTTAAATAATTCTGTGCATACTTTAGTATTTTGGCTTGCTATGGTGAGTAAAGATGTTGTAAACAAAACAGGGTGCTGCAGTGGCAGCCATTTAGTGACGTGTTTGCCTGCCCTTCCACAGGGGTCTGCCTGACCTACTTGTCAGATGAACGTTTCCTCCTCAGATACCACAACTCTGCACCGCTTCGGCCTTGATTAAGTAATCTGTTTTGATCTTCGTGAGTGAGCAGAGAAACGAGATGCTTCTCCGGGGTTTCCTCTGGGGAGGCCTGTGGTGGAGCTCCAACCCGGGCGCTCCCGACACCGCCCGTGTCCCGGGCAGGCCCGCAGGCGCCTTCACCCCTCACCTCCTCGGGAGGCCGTGGCGGGCGGCACCGGGATAAGCGATATGAGCTAGAGGCGGCCTCTACGCCCCTCATCCTGCCTAGTGCTAACTGTAAGGAAGTTATTGAGTAAAA